TGTACGGCAATAGGTATCAAATCTTCACCTAGGGAATATCTGTCTGTCTGAAGAAAACGAGCGCTGTCATTTTTATCGGTTTTTAGGATATTATCAACTAATGACAAAGAGTGCGAAAGAAATTCTCTTCTCGCTAGAAATAATTTTCTTTCATTAAATTTGTGCCTGTTACATTCAACGTTTCTAATGTTCTTTTTTTATCGTCCACGATACGTTAATTGAACGCCCCTTTGACCCGTTTTATGGTATTCTTTTATCCTAAAATAAATTGCGCTATCATTGGAAAAGCAATCTCTAAGCAGCGGAACAGAGTGTTCCGGGAACAAATTACTCGAGAAGCGATTTAGGTCATGCGGTCTTGTTTCACGTGTGAGGCGTAGCCTAACGTTGCCAGGGAAAATTTGTGCTTGCTTGCTATCGGTATTACGTCCCAACCAAGATACGTTTATCGTTGATATTCGATATTTCGATGAGGGTGAAAATGGGATGGAGAAGCCCAGACAGCCGAATTTCACAGCCAGTGAAGACTCTGGGACGTAAGATCGGTCCTTTTCGAAGGAACAGCTTTCGAAAACCTTCGACATCAATCTCGCTCTCTCCTTTTATTCGGCTCGAATTCGCGCCGATGAGTAATCCTAAACCACCAAACAAACTTCTGACTGGCATCGAATGTTAGCCACTCCCTTTTTGCTGGCGTGTTCAGCTTACTCAGTTATATCACTAATACTGGTATTTTTCCTAAGAGCGGTCTAGCAATCTTAATAATAAATCTATGAGATCTTGATCTCTAATCGATACTTCTTAAGTTTTTGAAGATTACTAAAATCCTTCTCCTTTTCTTGTCTTTTCATTTCTTGATTAAATAAAAGAGTTTAATAATACGTAAATTTATCATTAAATTTTGTTAGTTATTTAGCTAGCCAATTTTCCAAGAGCGTTATAAAATCAGTTAAATGATCAGTTGAATCATCGAAATGATACGCGTCCAGGTGTCAAAAGATTATAGTTGTAACTTCAAGTAGGCGTTTATTGAGCCGTGTGCAATTTTATGCACCTGTTGATATATGCAAGAGGCGGTGAATTAAAGCGATCCGTTCCTTGTCAAAGAGCGTTTCGCTTTTCGAACGAGCATCGAACGATCTCATGAAATGTCAAACACGAGCACGTGAAACGAATATCTTGGAGTCAGCCGCCGTGTCTGGTGAAACGTTGACTCGACTACTTCCACGAATCGACAGCGTTTTTCGTCGTTGAATTTTCATTCGAATTCTCATTTCGAAACGACCGGTACGCGTTTTACGCTAATATCGTAAATAAATTGCTTGACGAGTTGTACACCAATGGAAGCCTTAACATCACGATTCTCGTGAGATGGGATGTGATACTCATTTCGTCCATCTTGGCAACGATATTTTTCGTACTAAGGCAGCGGACGAAACATTAAAACGAATGGCGACATTCATACGGTACGCAGCTCGTGATACACGTATGTATCGCGATACGTGTATCTCCGTGTGAAACCGATCTGTGAGAGTGAGTAAATGATATCCCTGGCAGAGGATGTACACAGGCACAAGAGAGTATTCGAACACTTACTATTTTTATTTATTTTTCAATTACTGTTCCTTTCTTATTTAACATCTTCTTTTAACGTATCATTACGAGCTCGGAAGAATGTAATCGTTCCAAGTAAAGGTTTTCTACCCTCTACCGAGGGTGGCCAATGCGCAAACGCTGCAGGCTGGGCACAAAAACGACTCGTAATAGATGAGAAATTGCTGAGAAATGGCCACGATTTTCGCGCGAGAAACACGAAGCCGAAGATATAGGAAGTCGCAATAAATACGAGCGACGGTGAACGAGCGATAAAGGCGATCGAGTGTTTCGAAGAAACCGTAAAGCAGACTTTTATGTACGGCAATAGGTATCAAATCTTCACCTAGGGAATATCTGTCTGTCTGAAGAAAACGAGCGCTGTCATTTTTATCGGTTTTTAGGATATTATCAACTAATGACAAAGAGTGCGAAAGAAATTCTCTTCTCGCTAGAAATAATTTTCTTTCATTAAATTTGTGCCTGTTACATTCAACGTTTCTAATGTTCTTTTTTTATCGTCCACGATACGTTAATTGAACGCCCCTTTGACCCGTTTTATGGTATTCTTTTATCCTAAAATAAATTGCGCTATCATTGGAAAAGCAATCTCTAAGCAGCGGAACAGAGTGTTCCGGGAACAAATTACTCGAGAAGCGATTTAGGTCATGCGGTCTTGTTTCACGTGTGAGGCGTAGCCTAACGTTGCCAGGGAAAATTTGTGCTTGCTTGCTATCGGTATTACGTCCCAACCAAGATACGTTTATCGTTGATATTCGATATTTCGATGAGGGTGAAAATGGGATGGAGAAGCCCAGACAGCCGAATTTCACAGCCAGTGAAGACTCTGGGACGTAAGATCGGTCCTTTTCGAAGGAACAGCTTTCGAAAACCTTCGACATCAATCTCGCTCTCTCCTTTTATTCGGCTCGAATTCGCGCCGATGAGTAATCCTAAACCACCAAACAAACTTCTGACTGGCATCGAATGTTAGCCACTCCCTTTTTGCTGGCGTGTTCAGCTTACTCAGTTATATCACTAATACTGGTATTTTTCCTAAGAGCGGTCTAGCAATCTTAATAATAAATCTATGAGATCTTGATCTCTAATCGATACTTCTTAAGTTTTTGAAGATTACTAAAATCCTTCTCCTTTTCTTGTCTTTTCATTTCTTGATTAAATAAAAGAGTTTAATAATACGTAAATTTATCATTAAATTTTGTTAGTTATTTAGCTAGCCAATTTTCCAAGAGCGTTATAAAATCAGTTAAATGATCAGTTGAATCATCGAAATGATACGCGTCCAGGTGTCAAAAGATTATAGTTGTAACTTCAAGTAGGCGTTTATTGAGCCGTGTGCAATTTTATGCACCTGTTGATATATGCAAGAGGCGGTGAATTAAAGCGATCCGTTCCTTGTCAAAGAGCGTTTCGCTTTTCGAACGAGCATCGAACGATCTCATGAAATGTCAAACACGAGCACGTGAAACGAATATCTTGGAGTCAGCCGCCGTGTCTGGTGAAACGTTGACTCGACTACTTCCACGAATCGACAGCGTTTTTCGTCGTTGAATTTTCATTCGAATTCTCATTTCGAAACGACCGGTACGCGTTTTACGCTAATATCGTAAATAAATTGCTTGATGTACGTTCGTGATGTACGTTCGTGATGTACGTTCGTGATGTACGTCGATATACGTAGTAAGTAAGGATCATCGACAGAGGTAAGGTTGTTGTCGATCGATGACATCGACAATGCCGCGTCGCGTCGGTGAAAATTTCTGGCTGATAAAATTCAACGCGGCACCAGCAGGTACAATTACTATTTAATTCGCAAAAATAACCTTTGTCCCATGGCGGAGCAACGAAACGGATCATTAGGAGGAATTTGGTTAACGCTGCTAATTGAACGAACAGTACCATCTAATTAACAACAAGATTAATACTATGTCAATGCATCATCGATACAGGTTCGATTTTATATAATGGGGTTAAAAATATTTGCAATACAAATCGCGTGTGTAATTGCGCGGGAACTGGGTGGTCTGTTGAATGACGTTTGTTAAATGTAATAAAGAATCGTCTGTGTTGACAATAGCAGGGAACAATCCTTGCTTAGCTTTTATATAAAATGCGAAATAAAGTATAAAAAAAGGTATCGTTCGAATAATTACAGCATCTGTGTGTTATTTTACGGAGACAGTGAAAAATATATCGTTGGAAAGAAAGACAGGGATTTAGAACGAAAGGTTCTTACAAGTTTCGATGGAGGATCGCGACGTTAACAAAACGCGAAAAAAAAATACGAAGACGCAGAAACGTCGTGAAGGACGCGGAAATTATCACCGAACCATTCTTCTGTCTTCTTGAGTCAGCGAAAAAAGAAAAGTGAACAGCGTAGAAATGGCATTTACTGAAATCCGGAGGGGACGGACGGCCGAACAGGGCGTTGTTCGACTGAAACGAGGGTCCCGGTGACAGACAGAAACACTCACACGTGTCGTGCAAACAGAAGGTCTGGTATTAACGGTGATGGATCGTTAAATTGTTATCGAACGCACATTTTCCTTTGTTCATCGACTGTGGATGAAAAAACGAGGGAAATTGTTAATTGCCAATAAACTTGATCTCTCTGCTGGTTTGGCGGCATAGGTTACGGAAGAGTTGGTTTAAAGAGTGCGGTTAAAAAATCAACGTTCGCAGTGATACGAGAGAAAATTTATAGGGGCGGCTTTTGGTTTCAATACGCGGGGAAAAGTTAGTTTAAGTTATAAATATGGAATGGATTAAAAGTCCGGATAAAACGATATGAACGCGTATAAATAGTATGCGAACATGTGGTGTTTGCTTTGCTTCCCTTTTCTTCTTGCTATTCATTCATGAAACGCAGTCGTACAACTCGAAGTATGCATTCGAAAACAAATAAAAAAAAGAAAAGAAGAAGGGAGAAAAGGGAAAAAAAAGGAAGGATGAACTATCTTTCATTTAAATTATTTTTCAATAATTTCGATTTTACTATACTTTATCGTCTTAAATATAAATCACAACTTCCTGGAGAGATTTCATCCAACACAAACATCACCAAAGTGCAATAATAAACGGATTCGATGAAATCAATTTCTTCTTTTATAGAATTTCCTACTATATTAAATATCAAGAAATGTCAAAAGACGAGCGCTCGATCGATCGACAATTCTAGACGATCGAGTCTATCGTTAACCATTGGCTCTATTGATCGCCAATGTCAACGCATACCATTGCACGGGGTGGTGAGATACACGCGAGAGGGGTGCGTTTCCTTTGCCGGACAAAGCACGCAGTTCGAGTCGAGACCATTTGCTTTGTTTTGGAAAAATTAACCGAAAGACCGATAAAAAAATAATTACGAACAATGCGTCGTTACTCACAAGTTTGGACTGTCCTCAGGCGCAACGATGAAATTCACTGGTTTCTTGAAACTGGTCAACTTCGTGGAGACTTGCACGGGGTGTCGGTGTTAGACGGCCATGTTGTTGGAAATTCACCGCCCTCTAGCCGACGCTCGACGAAGTCACGATCCCTTCCCTCGTGGAGGAAACTCACCCCCTCAATTCCACCCTTTTTTGTGCCTTTTGCGTTCCGTTCTCGCGCGCTTAAGAGTACGACCAAGTTCACTAGCAGGTTACCTTTTTGTTTAGGATAAAAAGTGCTAAGATGGCACGTGGATCTTCTGTCTTGCTAATTTAAATGATTTGTGCTGGTAATTTAAAGTAGACAGGAAATATATTAGAGGACTGTGTTCAAGGTTTCATTTTCACGCGCAGCTAGCATATTAAATTTAATTATACTGTGTGCTCTATAATTCTATAGCCAGGTTGTCTCTCTATTTTCTTTTTAATTCTTCTGTAAAGAATTATATTTGTAACATTCTTGATTCAATTTACTGTCGATCGTTGATGATCGTTCTTATCGGTTGGAGATTGAGATTTTCTGTTGTTTCTTTCCTTTACTACGATCTCAAATTTCATATATTATACAACTATCGTTGCAGGGCTGACAATATATTGATTTACGTTACTTGCAAACGATTGAAGTTATTTTTATAAGATTGGTTTCTATTGGAAATATTATTTTCTTCAATGTGTCTTTAGGCGATACTGTTATATCGTGTCTCGGTGTTAAAGTAGCATAGATAATACTTCGTAACGTGCATTATACAAGGGAATTAGATCACTAAAGACTTTTCCAAGTTGGCTGACTTAAGCTAAAACTTAAACGTGAATTTGCATCGCGTGTTTGACTCGCGACCGCGGTTCGCGCTGAAATTTTCGGAATATTCAGAAACGTTTGAATTATGCATTTTGAAAGGGAGCGCGTCTACTTTCTTGTGTCTTTTCTGTTCTTCTACCTTCATTTTTTTCCCATTCAGAATATTCCTTTGGCTGCGAGAGAAAATCTTAAGACGAGGCGCCGCGAATCGATGAATGCTCGCTTTTTAATTAGAAAGACCGCACGTTTTAATTAAAAAAATTTCCCCGTTGCTTATTCAGAGAGTGAATTAATAGCCGGACACGAGCCTGTTCCGTGGTACGACGTCTTTCAGTATTCATGAATGACCTCGAGCGCGATACAACTTTCGCCAACCTTTTACTTCGATGCGAGCAATCTTAAATTCGATCGATGGTAACTTTATTGGAAAATTTCACTGCCCTCCACGAGATTGTATAAAATAATCTTATGAAAAGTCGAAGTACCGAATGCTCTTCTAATTTCGTTGTTACGTAGTTTATTCGAATCAATTTGAAATTTTATTATAAACCACGTAACGAAATAAAGAAACCTGCAAGAATGAAATAAAATTCGTTTAGTCACTTTCTTCTGCGTATCTTTTGAATGGTAAATTAACACAGCATTCTTAGAATAAAATACGTATACCCCTGCTCATAAATATTAGAACAGCTGGCGACCTTATACGAAATTGTAAAAATTCTGAAAGGCCTATTCAATTCTACCTGAAAGGAGAAATGAACGAACCGATTTTCCGGCTCACGTGTCTAACAAACAATCAGTCAACGTCACATAATAAAGACAAACTCCACAGTCCCTAAGCTCGGAATTGCAACACACCAGAAGTTCCCACGCGAAAATAAAGATCGTGACTCGATTTCGCTTATAATTGCGTCGTCGGTCGGATCGAGTCGTCTACGACCACAGACAGCGAAAGCTTGTCAACTCTTTTTCAACCTATACACGCACACGCGTGAACACGCGAAAAACTGTGTGCCTGGTGGAAGACACTTGGACGTGCGTGCTCGAACGACGAGTACTTCCTCCCTTTGCAAGATTTTTTCTGCCGTCGTGGCGAATTTCGTTTCGCGGCGTACACACGGAAAGAGAAAAGGACAGAGAGAAGGAAAGAGATGATATACGGTGAAGTGGTCGGAAGGTCCTGAGTGCTCTTCAGGCCTGTTATAATTAATACGATCTCATCGATCTCGGACTCGCAAGCTTTATCGTGTCGCGCTGCAGCCACTTTCTTTCGTCGTTTCGCGAGGTCCGCGAATTTACCCCGATGCAACCCCCTCTTCGTTGCCTAGCCTGCCGCGAAAAGGTCAATGGGCCGATGTTCGAGAGGCTGGGAATGTAGGGCAACGCGGAAAGGGGTGAGGCGCGGACATGGAACAATCCCGTGTGTACCCAATTCATACATTAATTCCGAGGGTAATCGAGCAGGTGGCTCGCGAAACGCGGCGAGTGGAGCTTCGAGAGCGATCGAAACTGTGTTCGGTTCTTCCTTTTGTTTTTTGTTTCTTCTCTCTGTCTACTTGTTTCGTGTTAATGCGAGTTCGTTGGAGTTGGAAGATGTTGATAGATGGAGATAATGATAGATCGATGTTCGAGGATATTGGTTAATGGATCAGATAATGGTTAATGGATTGCGGATTTTTATGGAGTTATGGGAAATTTGACGGCGTAAAAGTAAAAGAATGCACGCACCACGCGAAATGTACAGAGTCGAGTTTCGACAGCTACGTTCGGTTCTTTCCCGCTACTTTTTGTTTCCTTTTTCCGACTACTTGTCTCGTGTTAACGCGTGAGCTTGTTGAAGCTTGAGTGAGTTGATAAATGGAGATACAGTAAAACTTCATTTATCCGTACTTTACTTAGAGGAACGAAATTCTCGTTAGTGCACGATTAAATGAGCCTTTAGCTATTGATTTCACTTGTCTGAACGTAAACTCCCATTATATGGACGGAAAGTTTCCAGAGTCATATATTCCAGGAAGTCATCGATTATCGGGTTTTGATAAATGTTGCATGGTGAACTATACTTGGTTGATACAAACAAACTCATTACATATTTATTGAAAAATACAATTGAAATCACGCATCGCACGTTATACCTTACACGACAAAAACAAAGTATATTTCAGCAAGTATTAAAAAGTTGTAAAGAATGCGTAAACTGTGTTTTGTTTGTTCGACAAACAGAAGGGTGATCGGTGCGAGGCAATTTTGAAAAATTCTAGGATGTTTCGTGATTAACGGTTGCTTGTTTTCGACAGGTTGGGAATTTTCCTGAATTTATCGGGGGCGTGAAGAAGTTTGGATCGGACTTTTGACAGGGCATCGTATATTAGCGGTGGATTTTTAACGGAGGCCGGTAATATCGGCAGAAAACGGAAATTTATAACGTGACGAGAGCTGGATTGTCGGCGGAGAATTGCATTTCGCTGAATTATCACGATTGTGCTAAATTATCGACGTTAGTTCGCGCGTCTCTCTCTCTCTCTCTCTCTCTCCCTCTCTCTCAGTAACAGCTTATTCATTTCTAAACACGTTGTCTACCGCGTACATGAGTTCTAGGGCCGATGAATCATTCGAATAATCGTTGTCTACGTGAAAATATTTTTTCCGCCGCGCAATGCTGTCATAATGGACAGATGCTGCATCGGTCACGCGATTGTTTAATCTTCGCGTTTGTCGATTGCCTTCTGTATTCGTCGACGACATGATTGGCAATAACATTAGCTCCCGCCAAAAGATCGAAACTGTAACGCTCTATAACGTACGCTCTCTTTGGCGACAGACTACAATTTTTTCTCTCTCCCTAAAGAAAGTAAAAAATGGATACTCGATACTCGTTACAATTTGTCAGTCATACAACTTTGAAAATCACCACTCGCTCATCGATTTCGTCAGAGATTTATGGTTTCTATATAAATTCCTCTCAGCCATGAATTTTCGTGCTCGTAAATTCCCCCTATCAAGTCTAATAAAATCACCGTCTTGCGTCTACCCTTCAATGAACTATGCGACGTTAAACGCAGCGAACAACGACTGTACCCTTTCCTTTAATAACGAGCTACGGCCATTTGTCAGAGCTCTTAACCGTGTCAGCCATTGCTAGCTTCAAAAATTCCCATTCGCGGGTCAAGAACGCACGCGACGAGAACGAGTTTTGGAGAAATAGGTTCGTATGGCGAAGCTGCCTAATCGAAGGAAGATTCACGGGGTCGCGAGCTACCTGTTCGAGGGGCGAGCATTCATCGCGAACAAAGGCACTTGAGCACCCTTCGCGTTCTTCTCTCGCTTCTTCCGGGCCTCTAGCCCCGTGTAGAGGGTTGAAAGTATCATCTTGAAAGCCGATCGCGCTACTCGGAAGTCGACCAGAGCTCGTTCAGACTTCGCTTCTCTCATTAAAAATTCACACGGGCGGAGTGTTCGCGGGGCTTTAATCAATCGGCCGCTTAAGCGTTGCGATCTCTTTCTTCTTAGTCTCAGAGAAGCCGGAGTTTGTCATTCTTAAGCTTCTCTGCAGCTTTTATCTCGGTGGAATCGGTTTTTGGGATTTTCGACTGGGATGAAACTGCGACGATACTTCCATCGGATACTACGCTTATTTGGATCCGATGGTGATTTTAGCACACTTCTCTTACGGTATTCTAACTGTTGCGCCGTGTCTGAAGTTTGACGTTAAGGATTCTAATTTAAAGTTTGTATTAGGTTATAACAGTTTAAAAGTTAGTTCAGTCATATCGTTAATTAATCTTACGACATCAGAATAATCGTTTTATTTGACTTTGGAACTAGACTTACATTTTTACACACTTTTTGTATCATGCGATTGGTATCGCGTGCTCAGTACGAGTCGATTCTAACATTTTAATACAACCAAGTGAACGAAAAATATATGTAGAGAGTAATATAACGAATTAAAGGCGCAAGCTGCGTGCTTTTTGATTAGACGAAAAATATCATGCCTCGTGATTGATATCACGATGTTTGGCAGTTAAAATCTGGCTTCTTTATTACAGGTTAGCGAAATTTTTACGAGTATCTGATTTTCTACCAATCAGGATATTCCTCTTTAATTTACCTAATGAAATTAGGCAATTGAAGGGCCTCGTTCAACCTCAAGTATTTATTACATTTTCGTACAGTCTCTTTCGTATGTTATTTTAGTAGCTCGGAGTGACGAACGTGTAACGTGTACATAAAGTACTCGTCAAACGTTACGCATGGCAACTTTTATCCAGGTTCTATCTTTGAAATTTGACGTTAGTGGAACGACGGGGCTTATCTATGTTTAACTCAATTAGTATCAAAATATTAGCTGGTTTATTAAAGTTCAGAATGAATTTGATGGTCGTTGATGGTTCGAGATTCGTTGTTGTGTCAGTTTATTCGCGTGAATTGCGAAAAGCGCAAGTCTCAGCTAATTTTTCCTATAAATGTAAAGAATAGGTGCTTCCTGTCTTATTACACGTGGTATCTATCTATAGAACGTACGTATAGAAAAAATCATCATTCAATTGGAATACAAATGTCTTCTGTCAGGACTGAAAGGTGTTTCTAATTTCGCGACTCGAATGCAACTGAGTTCTAACGCTGGAAGCTTCGTATAAATGTCATACCGCAGTTGCATAAAATTACTTTTAGCTTATCCTATGAAACAGAAATAACGAAATTCTTTTTCGTAGCTTTTATCGTTAATTTGAAATGACAAATATAAGCTGGAAAAATTAGAAGTCGCGCGTTATTTATAAAAGCTGCGTTAAAAAACTAGGCTGCGACGTAGTAGCATATGGATTCATAACTGGCACAGGTGTTTCCGTAATTACGATCGTGTTCACAGAATACATCGTGACATGTCGGCGAACTTCATAAGCCGACATTGCAAGCTTCGTTGCGATAGAATCGCAGTGTGTGCCATAGTTGGTAAATCGATGTACACACGCAGCTCGCGTCTCTGTTTATTCTTCGCTCATCCATCTCTTTTCTCTTCTCTAATCCACCGATCGTGCCGTTTTTTCGCCATTTTCTTTTTGTTTCCCTTGCATTTTGCTATCCACTGTGCTACCTTCCTTTCTACGTTCCCTGTACTCTGTCATTTTGCGTCCCTTGCAACCACTTGAAAAAACATCCCCCTTCAGTGTCCATTCTTTTACATTATTTTCCTCCTTATCAAATTTTATCGCAACATTTTCCCTTATTTCTCTTGAAATTTATCCTTTCTAGTCCTCCGACCTGTCTTCGAAGTTCTATCTATCTTCCTCTACCGAATCGTATCCGCAAAACAATATCTCGTCCTTCCAGTTGCTCGTTTCACTTTCTTCCTCTTCTTCCTCAAATTCTCTTCCACATTCTTCCATTTCATTCATTTCTTCGCCTACACGCATACACACGTACATCAATCCTGCGCAACACCTTGTACCACCTTATACTATCTTTCTCCAACGGGACTTCTTTGCTTTATCGCACAATCCACTATTCCTAACCCCTCTACCCGTCGATCGCGGTTTCATTCTCGCCCTTTCACCCTTTCCCGTCTATCCAACGTTTCCCACATTCCCTTCTCCCTTCTTCTAACCCTTCCTCGCTGTACATCCTCAACCCCTGTACGCCGCCACCCCCACCAAATGAACGAGAGCGCCGGCCCGAAAGCCTCGGTTGAGTCAAGCTCCGGCACGGTTCAGACGAGTTCAGTCGCGCCATTCGGCCGTGGTGTTCACGTGCCATCGCAAGCTTGCAATACGTCTGTCGTTTCGTCGTCCATAAGAGCGGAAAAACATACCTAAAGAGGGAAGGGAAACGGAGAACGAGAAAGAGAGGGAGTGAGGCAAGTGGATCGCACGCGTTCGATGTTCCCGCTCGGAGAGGCCTGCCACGATCGCAAGGTAGATCCTTAGATCGTAAGCTCGTTAGATGGTTTGTTTTGACGGCCGGTCCCGCGTGCTCGTGCTAGTGCGATGTGTCTGATCCGTTTTTTTTACAAAGACTTCTTTTTATTTTATGATCACATTCGGTTCTTGTTTGACATGCGACCTGTTCTTGGTGATTTTGTAATAGAAATTCGATTATCGAGCAGTTGGATTAATTTTAATTAGTCTGCTTTTTTAATTTGTGTTACCAGTGAGTCGACGAGGGACCCGTTTACTAGGGACCAATTTAATTAGATTCATACGGGCTCGATGAAAGAGCGTAGATTGCGATCTGTCGTAGTTTTGGAGGGAAATTGATTTCCGACCCGCGCGAATGAATCGCGTTTCGAATCACCGACGACCGTTCTTTCCTCTCTCTCTACCTCCTTTCGTGGAATCAATTAAAAATCATTTATACGAGGCGGCCGGCACGGTTGCTAATTGACCCGTGAATTTTGTTGATTCCACGTCGATTTGAATCGACGTTTTGCCAGCTGATGTCGCGATCCATGACGAATTTTTCTATTGGGAACAAATCGATCGAAAAGCCGTTTGCCGATATCTGGAACGATATTAGATTTGCAAAATTCCCATTGAAGGTTGTCAGTTCGATAATTCGCCGGAAATGAGAGGAGAGCTTCTACTTGATTTTCCGTATTTTCAAATATTTCATTTATTTTATTTGAAACGTTTGAGGTATTTTAATTAACTTTTAGAGTATAATTAGCATAGATCGCTCGAATCTTGTTAATATTTTATCCGCGCTTCAGGCAATTTTTCTTTCAAATCCCCCCACGTCCGACGACCGTTCTTTTTTGTATCTTTCATAAGCGCAAATTGTGCTTTTCCACACGAGTGCTTTGTATCTCGCGGAAATAGATTTAAATATTCATAATTTAGAATGTTGAATTTCCTCTTGGCCTCGTTTCGCAAGCCGAGTGCCAGAAGGTACGTGTTACCACGATTCCCGCCATTTTGTATAAGTCTAATTAATCCTTGAGAGGATACGGGGAAACTTGAATTAATATCGTGCGACTCGATGCACGACCACAAGACGAAAGGGAGGGAGGGAGAGAGGGAGAGAGAGAGAGACAGACAGAGACAGAGAGAGGGAGGGAGGGAGGGGGAGAGGGAGAGAGAGAGAGAGAGAGAGAGAGAGCAAATTTCGCGAACGAGAAGCTGCCGTCCAAGTGGAAGAAACTTTCCCCGCCAGACCAGACGACATAACTTCCCGCTTTTGAGGCTTCCTTAATTTGCGCTCCGCGTCATTTGAAACCAGCCAGCCGTCGTTTCTACTGAAAACCATAACTGTTCGAAAATGTTTTCAAGTGCTTCGATTCATTCTTCGACTACGCTTTGTCTTTAGATTATTTAATTATTGGTTTTCTACGAACCAGATGACAAGGAGATCGAGGAATTCGTATACGAATAGTTTTAGGCAGATCGGGAAACTTTACGATATTACGAGATGCAAAAATTCTTGGGAAAGTTCAGGAACCTTGGACTTTTAACCTTTGAGAGTACCGAATTTCTTTCGGCAAGCCTTCGTGTATTTTATCTTCTACTGATCGGCCGAATGAAGGGAAAATAGAGAAAAGGGGCTAGAAATAGCGATAGAAGATTGGATTGTGTGTGAAATTTCTAGAAGAAGCAAGCAAAGTGCGCGGAGAAGTATACGGCTGTGAAAATAAACTAATAATAATTAGTTTACTAAACTTTTAGAAATTTTAAATATATGGTTTATGACAGATTGTTTCACAGCTTACATACTGCAATTACATTCGTAAAAAAGATTCCAAAGAATGATCAAAATTCGCCAAAGGTTGTCGATTGATTTATTGAACTAACTCATTAATTTCTAACTACTTCGCGATTTATTATCTTATGATTTATTCTTATAACTAGTTCGCTATATTTTTACTTTCAAATTTATACCGTTTTATATTTCTATGACAAGCGTTTCATATCCTTTTCACATCAAAACTGAAACATTTAAGATTCCACGCTTACACGAAAATTCTAAGCTAACTTGCCCTGCTAAAACTCAAAATTATCCGCGTCTACGCACTGATAAAGAGTCACCGCAGCGAATTCAATTCGCGTCTAACACAACACGAGACATCCGAAGCACCCCGTCGAGGGTCGCAAACGCGGGGCGTGGTTCAGCCACGCGGATACGAACCGGATTAATTCGTCGGGACTGATTAATGAAAAAAAGAAGAAATAAAAAAAAAAAATCGTAGCCGGGAACGTGTGTCGAACGCGGGCCGCGGATTTTGAAACGGATAGAAAAAAGCGAAGTGGCAATCGAACGGACGGGGCCAGAGAACTGCGGCTAAAAAGCGATATCGTAATTAATCACGTCGCTTGGAGCCGGCTCGAGACATGCTGGATAGGTTGGAAAAACAGGGTGGAACAGGATGCGCGTGTTGCCTCTGGGGGATGATCAGTGGAAGAGAGCAATTTCTAGCGTGCACTCACCCTCTCAGCTGTTTCATTTCGTTTCTTCGTGCACTCGCGCGTCGTCTGTTCCGCGTTTTCGTTGCACAAGTTAGTTAGGCTCGATTCTAGTCCGCCCCGATCCCGCTCCCCCCGGGCTTCATCGGGAACAATTTCAATTTCGTCCGGAAGCCCGCGACGATCACCAACTGCATCGCGCAGTGTTCGAAAGCGGCTGTCTGTTCGGGTGAAAACTGTAATTTTGGTCGTGTTCTATTATCGAATTCTCTTTTTTAAATCTCGAAATTTCCAAAGATTCCCAATTAGGATATTGTTATATGCCTTACAGATTTTGTAGAGGAAGATGCATACTTGAATTTTCCAATGAGAGGATTAGAAAAATTTGATGACAGTTTCGAGTACGTGCACTCAGGAATGATAAATTTTTAACGCGTTTAATTTGCCGTTTTAAGTAAAACTGTATGGATCGACGCGGATAATTTTGAGATTTATGCTTTCGGTTTCTATAAAAAGTCAAATGCTACATTTCGTAACCTTCTTTGTAGTTTAATCTCGAAGTGGGTATTGTCGATACATTTGTTATTTAATTGTTCCAGTGACTTTATTATATCATATCTGCGGGCTATCTATGAACTATACGCAATGTCTCGTAAGAAAGGGATTCTACGTGAAAAAATAAATATAATAACTGAAATAGTTAATACTTGAACAGTATCCCATAACTTTTTCATGGTCTGACAGCTGTTTCAGTCGACGAGAACGCTGAACCGCACTCGGCGCTTTTTTTAAGCGATAGAAAGCCTTGTTCTACGTCGCGCTGGTGATGGATTTATTTCCCTTCGTTCTGTTTTGGAAACCGATTTCTGGTTATTAGTTTCTAGCTTTGTTGCGCGGTTTACGTAGACGGATTGACGAGCGAACATCGACGGGTCCCCGGGGCGGGTGAAGTTTACAGAAACGCGTTTGTTTCTTCTTTTGTTCCGTCGGTTAAAAAATAGCGGCATGTATTGTCGGGGATATGTTGCGAATTGCAGAAATTGTTTGCCAGTGAAATTTTTTACACTTTTAATTGCTATTTTGCGAACGGTGTCGAGATTCGTCTCGAAAGGGATTTACATTTGATTGAAATCGGATGCATTATGCGTTCATAATACGCCGAAAAAATGCAGATTTCAACGAATGGTCGAAAGGGAAAAGAAATGAAATCGAAAGGGGTTAATCGCTGTACAGCGATAAAATCAAGAGTTCCAAGAGACGAGCGAATAGAAGAAAAAAATTGTGATTTCCTTTATATCATATGCGCGCATATATTATTTACATTACTACGTAGTTTTAATGGCTTTTATCATAAAGTGCTTCACGGATGACAGCCAGTTATAATCTGAAAGGGATGTACGTGTATTAATACGTTCCATCGAAGTTGCCTTATTGTGTGTGTTTCGTCAGAAAATTATTTACTTTCGATACATCGAGACAAAAATATAAAATTGTAATTTCATCTACATATTGACATTTATATTACCATTTATAAGTATACGAATGCTTTGATTGATTTCTAACAACACTATGTGAATTTTACATAGGTGCCTACGTTAATGGTGAATTAATGACTAGAATCACCAGACTATTAATCTAAATTACCTACTACTCTAAAGACATGGCAATAATGTACTTTGCCATAGGAAGCAACCTTTTCTTCAATGTTTTAACGTTACGATAAATGATAATTTTAAAATTGTGGAAAGGCCGTAGAAATCCAATGGTAAGAAAATTTGGTACAGAAATAAAAAAATCAACAGAAGGCGATGTCGATCGGTTTAGCTTCCAAAAGACTAAATTCATTTTTACACCTAATAAATTCCAGATGGAATAAAGTACACCGATGCATTGGAGTTCTTTGAATTGTACGGCACTATCCCGGGAATACGTAAATTGGTCAATATCGATTGACGATCTCCGGGTTGCCCTGGATCTTCGATTTTCCGCAACCAGTGACCTGGAAATTCGCGCATCGGAATTTCCATAGATCGTGAAATATATGAAATATTTTCACGGCATAGTGTGTTTTCCTCGGCTTAATTCTACTCTCTTGGGGATTTTACCGTGCCGGTTATATTTTTCCGCGAGGTAAACTTTCGAATGCATTAAGCGCGGCTTGTCCAATGAAATACGATGGGAACTGGATAGGCTGATGCTGGAGGGACGCGTAATGAAAAGGAATATCTGCTTTCGTGCGCGCGATTTACTCTATTTTGGGTCTAACGTAGTCTAACTCGGATTTCACCTACTTTAAATTGAAAATAAAAAGAATGAAACGAGATTTAATATAACGATATTTACCGGGATAATTTAAAGTAGATACTAAGCTTTGTAGCACGTACATAGCTAAACTAGATATGATCTAGATAGAGTGGCTTTGTGAAAGTATAAAAATTTTCATGTTTAATTTCGATTAAGTAGTGTTTGTATAAATATGAACTTAGTTATCTTAGACGTGGTAGTTAAATTGGACTTGG